GCTCTGGGTCCTAGCCCAAGATTAATTCATACAGCTCACTATTCTCAGCTAAAATGATACGTTTTATATAAATATCTCGGTCTCTACTAAATAAACTAGATCAAATCAGGTAAGCTTTCCTTACCTGGAATGAGTTTCCTTTAAATCAACTCCTAGTAAGTCCCGAAGGGATAGATCAAGTGTCTGGGTATAGAATATGGTTCAAACAGCTCAATCTACTCAGAACGATATGGTATAAGTAACTTGAGAAAGAGAGAGAATAAATAAAGTAAAGACCAAAAACTAAGTTATGAGAAATCACCTAAATCTCAATGAGCTAGAAGATCTCGCTTTGATCGAAAAGAAATTTGGCTTAGAGAAAGTTTTCTCTAAGGAAAAAAAGTGAGAGAATAGAGAGAAAATGAGAGAGAGAGAAGTTGTCTAGTGAGAAAATAAAGTTTATGGGCGCTGAGGTCCCTTAAGTACCTTTCCAGCCTGCGCAATCTCGCTTAAGCAAGCTAATCCTTGCTTGAGCAAGATATGTTTCTCGCTTGGGTGAGGTCACCCTAGCCTGGGCTAGAAAATCAGACAATGGAACCTCTTAGATTTCTGCTATTCTCGCTTAAGTAAGGAACACCTCGCTTAAGTAATCTGCATCTTGCTTGGGCGAGCAGCATTCTCGCCTGGGCGAGATTGGGTCTAGGAGTTACCCCTTTATCCTGCGATTCCTCGCTTGAGCGAGGTCGCCTCTCGCCTGAGCGAGATCCCTTCTCCCCTGGGCGAGGGAACAACTGGGGTGATCCTATCTGCTCTCGCTTGAGCGAGAACACTCCAGAATACCTAATTCTGCACGATGACTTCTTGCTTAAGCGAGACTACCCTCGCTTGAGTGAGACACCGTACACCTAGAACTCTTAATCTCTCTCTTGGATGAGATTACATTGGTTCTCGATCACATTCCTTAGCTTATCTCATGTACAACACACTTAACAACTAATTTCTAACCTATTCTGCACATCACACCCTGACAACATCACAATACAACATTCAAGAATATATTGCTCATTACTTGGCAATCATACAACTTTTACATTCGCATTCCAATATATTAATAATTCAGATACTTTAAGCATACAAACCACAATTCAATTGGAATAATAAGTACACATAAGTACACCGATTTGACAATTCTCTCCCTGAAAATAAATTTTCGTCCTAAAAAATTCATTCATCATCAAAGAGTTTAGGACATTGCTTTTTCATTCGATTCTCCAATTCCCATGTAGCATCACTAGTAGCTGGATTCTAAACGACTTTCACTAGTCGAATAGACTTGCCTCTAAGTTCCTTCACTATAGTGTCTTCAATACGTGTAGCTAGAAGCTCAATTGACAAGTCATCTCGTATTTGTATAGCATCTGGTTCGATCACATTAGTTGGATCAGAAACATACTTTCTCAGCTGTGATATATGAAAAACATTGTGCAATCTTGCTAATTGAGATGGTAATGCTAGTTCATAACTCACTAGTCCTCTGAGTTGTAGTATTTGATACGGTCTCATGAATTTATGTGTCAGCTTCTTTGCCTTCAAAGCTCTTCCTACATCCGTAGTTCTTTATACTTTCAAGAATATGTGATCACCTACCTCAAATTCCAAAGGTTTCCGACGCTGATCATCATAAGATTTTTGACGACTCTGCGTTGCTCTCAGTTTATTTCGAATTAGCTTAACTTGTTCTATAGTTTTTGAAGCATCTCAGATCTAACCATCAAATAAACTCCATCTTGAAACTAACAAATTGGAATTCAACATTTTCTGCAATACAAAGCTTCAAAAGGTTTCATACCTATACTGAATGATAACTATTGTTGCTGGTAAATTTTACAAGAAGAAACATGTCCTCCCAATTACCCTTCTGATCAATAACACAAGCACACAACAAATCTTCTAATATTTGAATGGTTCGCTCTAACTGACCATCAATTTGAGGGTGATATGTTGAACTCAGTTTTAGCTGGGTACCCAAAGCTTCTTGAAAACTATGCTAGAATTGAGAAGTGAAGTGAGGGTCCCTATCAAAGATGATGCTAAAAGGTATTCCATGTAACTTAACGATCTCTCTGATAAACAGCTTAGCAAATCTTTCCATGGCATATGCCATATTAACTGGCAGAAAATGAGCATATTTAGTCAATCTATCAACTATAACCCCATACCACATCATGATTTTTCGCCGTTCTCGGTAAATGAGATACAAAGTCCATGGTCACACAGTCCTATTTTCACTCAGGGATCTCCATAGTTTGTAATTCTCTATGTGGACAACAACATTCTGTTTTTGCCTTTTGACAAGTCAAACAAGTCTTGACAAACCTGGCTATTTCACCTCTCATTCCCGGCCACCAAAATATTTGCTTCAGGTCCTGGTACATTTGTGTTACTCCAAATGGAGATTTAGACTGCCTTTATGTCCTTCTTCTAAAATTTTCCTCTTCAGCTCAGCACCTCTAGGAATACAAATTTGGTTATGGTATCGAAGAATACTATCAGTACCTCGATTAAAACCTAAGTACGATCTGTGCCCAGAAGAAATACAATTCAGCACAATCTGGGATCCTATAATTGTTTATTCTTAATCTCTTGTAGGAATTCATTAGTCACCACAATCCTGCCACAAGTGATCTTTCCAAATTCTATCTCTAAGTGTAAGTTCAGATTTCTAAATTGATCTACCAAAAGAGACTCATTAACTCTTAGTGAAAAAGTCTAAATTAGACTTTTGCTCAAAGCATCTGCTATTACATTAGCTTTGCCTGAATGGTATTGAAGTTGAAACTCATAATCTTTAAGAAATTTCATCCAGTGCCTCTGGCTCATATTCAATTCCCGCTAATCGAACAAATATTTAAGACTTTTATGATCACTATATACATTAAATTGCGCTCTATAAAGATAGTGCCGCTAAATCTTTAAAGCAAAGACCACTATAGCTAACTCCAAGTCGTGCATGGGTAATTTCGCTCATGAGTTCTTAACTGGCGCGATGCATATGCCACCACTCTCTTGTCTTACATTAATACACATCCTACCTCCTGATGCAATGCGTCACAATACATCTCAAAAGGTCAGCCAGTATCAGGAAGGATTAACACTGGAGAGGATGTCAACCTCTGCTTCAACTTATTAAAACTTCATTCACAATCCTCTATTCAAATGAAGGGTTGACCTTAGCAGGTTAATAACGCTAAAGGTGAGGCAATCTTTGTGAATCCCTTTATAAACCTCCGATAGTAATCCGCCAAGCCCACAAAGCTATGAATTTCAGTGGCTATTTTTGGTCTTTCCCATTTCAATACTGACTCTATCTTTGAAGGGTCAACTGCAATCCCTTCAACTGAGATCACATGACCAAGAAATTTTACCTCTTCTAACCAAAATTTACACTTGGATAATTTGGCATACAATTGTTTTTCTCTCGAAATCTCCAAAATAATCCTCAAATGTTTAGCATGTTCATCTCTTAAACTAGAATAAATAAGGATATCATCAATAAACACTACTATAAATCGATCCAGAAAAGGCTTAAAGATCTAATTTATGTAGTCCATAAATATTGCTAGGGCATTAGTAACTCTAAAAGGCATCACCACATATTCATAATGCCTATACCGAGTACAAAAAGTTGTCTTTGATATGTCATTATCCTTAACTCGAATTTGATGATATCCAGACTTTAAATCAATTTTGGTGAATACCTTAGCACCTTTCAGCTGGTCCATCAAATTATCAATCCACGACAATGGATATTTATTCTTAATGGTTAACTTGTTCAGTCAATAATAATCTACACAAAATCTAAAACTTTCGTCTTTCTTTTTCACTAGAAGGACCAATGCTCCCCAAGGTGACACACTCGGCCTGATCATCTTTTTTTGTAGTAAATCCTCAATTTGGCCTTTCAACTCCATCAGCTCTCTTGGCGCCATCCAATAAGGTGTTATAGATACTGACTTAGCTCCAGGTACTAAATTTATGCCAAACTCGATCTCCCTGGGCGGAGGTAATTCAGGAACATCATCAGGAAAGATTTCAGGAAATCTTGCACAACTGGTATCAATTGAAGTTCCTATTCCCGCTCTACACTCATAACAACTAAAAGAACAAAGCATGAAGCTCCTTTGTCAAGAGCTGCCTTTACTTGGCATATAGGAATCATTTTTAGAAAATCTTGCTACTCAGGAAAAATTAAACATCACTGGGCATAATTGATTAAAACATGATTAGCAGTTAGCCAATCCATGTCTAGGATTATATCCAGGTCTGACATAGGGATACTAATAAGATTAAGCCTATACTCCCGTCCCTCAACTACTATAGGCATCCAATACAAACTATTGAAGTTGTTATCGAATTCAAAATGGGTGTGGCCACCACCAAATTACATCTCAAATCACTTACAGGCAATCCTAAGTTTTTCACTTAGACATCTGCAATAAAGGAGTGAGTGGCTTTAGAATCAAAAAGCACGGAAAGAGATGTATCTGGCACAACTCTTGTCCCCTGAATAAGATTTGTAGCTTGAGCAACTTTTGTCCAAGAGGTAGTAAACACACAGGCCTCAGCTATAGGTCTAGTCATTTGTGGAGCCTTGACTGTTTAGGTCTCATAGCATATAAGGCGCTAGCTGTGGACGATGCTGCTCCACTTCGGGAAACAAGACAATCTTTGGCAATAGCTTTAGCTGTCAGCACGAAAAACAAACCATAGTGTCAGCCTGCTGGCATTGATTCTGATAGTGTGGTCCTCCACACCTAAAGCATCTAACAGTAGTAGGGGTTAGGATCCTAAAAGATGGTACACTTGCTCCCCTAGGCTGAAACAGTTCCCACTAGTCTAGGAGCTAAAGACGTCACTCCCTTAGATTGGGAAGGTTGAAACTACTGCTGGCAATATGGTCTGCTATAAGGGTCATTCCTAATACCTTTATTTCCTCCATAACTATTGGCTTGTCTGCTAAACTAAGCTTTCCCCACTCCACCAACATTCTCTAAATTGAAGCTCCTAATGATGGTGGCTTGATCCACCAAATCGGCGAACTCTGTGATTCTCAGCGGAATCAAAGTCTTTTTTATATCAGTTCTCACCCCATCAGAGAACCTTTGACATCTCCACTTCTCAGAAGTTGGATGCGAATAAAATCGATAAAGCCACTCAAATTGAATGACATATTCATACACAGATGAGTTCCCTTGCACCAAAGTCAGGAACTCTCTTTCTTTCGCAGCACGGACGTGAGGTGGAAAGAATTTCCTAAGAAGTTATTCTTAAATACCTCCCATATAATGGCCTCACCGCGAGCCTCTAACATAGTACGGGCTCCCTACCACCACATCTCTGCATCTTCCACTAGTGGCATAAACAACATTTTTATCCTCAGCACACCCCATAGTAATAAATATTTTCTCAATCTCTCGAATCCAGACCTCAATTGCATCTGGTCCATCAATTCCAGTGAATTGAGGGAGTTCACTCTTCCTAAATTCAAATAGCCCCTGATACTCAGGTGGCAGTATTGTTGTAGAAGTAGTAGTTGCTTCTACCTAAGCTACAGCGACTACTTGACTTGCAACTTGTTGTTGTTGGACCACATCTAGACTCTACGTCACGATGGCTGCCATGGCCTCCATAGTGTGAGTCATCTGGTTCACATTAGGTGGAGGATATGAAGCAGGTCTCATAGGTGGTCTTGTCATCTTAACATAAAACAAAACTAACTTAGAATTTTTATAGCAAATCACATCTCAATTTAACTATTCAACCACCCAGCTAATCTACTTCAATAAACACCTTTGCAACAAAATTACTATATCACATATCAACACAGCATATGCACAAGCTCAACACATAACAACGTATGAAAGTAGACTTATTACACATTTCAACTTATCCAGTGCAATATCATGTTACCATTTACAATTTAATGCAGACAACAAAACATAACTTCTTTAACAATTTCTCACAGCTCAGCTTAGCGACATCTTACTCAGCCACCCAACCCGCCTACAGCTCACCCAAGTCTCATATGTCAAAATTTCTTACATCTATCATGTTGGAGAACATAGGTGATCAAACTTGTTCTCCCTGCTCATAGTATACAACTGAAACCTAATAATTTCACCCCATAGGTTTACTTAGACCATTGCTCTGATACCACTAAAATGTCACGACCCCTTTTTATAAAGAATCAATGACATTTAACATTACCTTTCTTAATTCACTTAATCATTTATTAGATATTACATGTACGAGTCCAAGAATATAAATTTATCGCAAATTGAAATTTGACATTTACATTAATAAAATAACAAAGCTTCTTGGTATTTTCAGGTAACACCAAACTTTACAAAAGAAAATTTATATATATTTACAACATAATGATTCAGTGAGGATTTCAAAATACAAGGGTTCAAAATGTAGTTACATTCCTTGGCAAATTAATAACTCAACAGTCTAGACTTAATGCTTAAAAATCTAGTCCAACAAAATGATTAACACCCTGATCTTCCAAAAAGCTAACTCTAATGTCTCTCAGCTAAACCTTTCAGCTTGAGAAGTGGATGCATTCTCTGTAACTTCTGCTCACGTACCATCATACGATTATTGCAGCACACACATACTAACACAACAAAATACAAGGACGAGCTTATAAAATTGACAACCTTAATAATGAATTATGAATGAATATAGATAAAATTAATTAAACAGCTCATAACAATCAACACACAACATTACACAGTTTCAATAAAATAATGCAGCATGTCCAGCTCATTCCCAACCCATCTAATGCAAATGTAGTGATTCAATTTCCATCTGATTTCACAACCTAAGTAATCTAGAGGAACTGTTTTTCAGTCTGGAAGTGATCTAATCCGGTATCTGAATCCAGACACAGCACAACTCAAAATCCTAATAAGCTCTAAAATGATTATGATGCAACACAGTGAGATTAACATATTACATCACATCAAATTTTATTTCAGCTTCAGCGATACAGCAAGATATATAGTTTCATCCAACTTTAACAACTCAGCTATATATATATATATATATATATATATATATATATATATATATATATATATATATTCACAGCAAAACCCAACATTTCAATACACAACACACAATGAAACTAAACAGCTTAAAATATTAATTCAATATTTCAGCATATATTTGTACTTTTGACTCATATATCACAACATTCTAGCATGTTATATAGATCACAGCATTACAGCACATTATATTTCATCACGACTTTCTAAACACTCATCAAATAATAGAGAAATATACTTGACTATACAGGCTCTGGGTCCTAGGGTAAGATTAATTCATACAACTCATTATTCTCAGCTAAAATGATATGTTTTATATAAACATCTTGGTCTCTACTAAATAAACTAGATCAAATCAGGTAAGCTTCCCTTACCTGGAATGAGTTTCCTTTAGATAAACTCCTAGTAAGTCCTGAAGGGATAGATCAAGCGTCTGGGTATAGAATATGGTTCAAACAGCTCAGATATACTCAGAATGATATGGTATAAGTAACTTGAGAAAAAGAGAGAAGAAACAAAGTAAAGACTAAAACTAAACTCCAAGAACTCATCTAGATCTCGATGAGATAGAGGATCTCGCTTTGATCGAGAAGGAATTCAGCTTAGAGAAAATTTTCTCTAAGAAGAAGAAGTGAGAAAACAGAGAGGAAATAAGAAAGAAAAGTTATCTAGTGAGAAAATAAAGTTTCTAGGCACTGAGGCCCCTTAAATACCCCTCCAGTCCGTGCGCGCTTGCTTGAGCAAGATCTGTTTCTTTCCTGGGCAAGCTCATTCTCGCAAGGGAAAAAAAAATTACACGTTGGAACCTCTCAGATTTCTGCTATTTTTGCTTAAGCGAGAAACACCTCGCTTGAGCAATCTGCATCTCGCCTGGGTGTGCAGCATTCTCGCCTAGGCAAGATTGGATCAAGAGTGTTACCCCTTTATCCTGTGACTCCTCGCTTTAGCGAGGTCGCTCTTGCCTGAACGAGATCCCTTCTCGCCTGGGCGAGGGAACAGTTGGGTTGATCTTATTTGCTCTCGCTTGAGTGAGAACACTTCAGAATGCCTAATTCTGCACGACGACTTCTAGTCTCGCTTAAGCGAGACACCCTGCACCCAGAACTCTTAATCTCTCTCTTAAATGAGATTATATTGGTTCTCGATCACATTCCCTAGTTTATCACATGTACAACATACTTAACTACTAATTTCTAACTCGTTTTGCACATCACACCTGATAACATGACAATACAGCATTTGAGAATATAATGCTCATTACTCAGCAGTCATACAACTTTTACATTCATATTCCAATATATAAATAATCCATACACTTAAGCATACAAAGCACAATTCAATTGGAATAATGAGTACACATAAGTACATCGATATGACAAAATGGACATTATTTTATAATGAGGAAGGGTGTTGTTGTGGACACGTCACCACAAATCTTTCAAAAGTAGTTAATAGGATTTTGAAAGGTGTTAGAAACTCACTCATAATTGCACTAATAAAAGTCACATGCTAGAACCAAAGCTATTCTTATCCCTTATTTTTAGCCAAAGGCCATCATGGTCTGACTTTAGGAGAGGAATGTGAATAAGGAAATCTCTAACTAAACACTAAGGTTTATTCACAATAGAGCTGAAATTAGTCAAGAGTTTCTAGCATGTAGCTCTCAGCCTCTCTTGTGGACTAACATATATAGAAGATATGACTTAATCCCTTTTACCCATATTAATATTAAGGTAAATATTTTTTTTTTCCTATTGTACTAACTTCAACTTTACTGGAATTCCAACATTACCATACTCCCTCAAAAAATCCTATGGCATCCACTTTATTTGAGTCATCTAGATTTATTTTACTAATCACTATGCCAACCTTACTTGAGTTGATTCTAGGTTAAAAAAGAGTAATAAAGTCCTATTTATAAATTGTAATTAGATTGTTTATCAATATATGAAAAGTCTTATTTCTAGCCTCCTACAATTTAAAAAAAAAATAGTTCATATGATCAGTGTTTGTAGCATTCTTAAAATGCTAATACATGTCTATGTTACCATCCACCGATAAAGCATTATCAGAATTATTAGGATTTATTTATTTTTTATTTATTTAGATCCATTGATAAGGGTATATCAAGTTGCTTATCAATGGGGATATGTTTCAGAGAATCCTAGTCCTTCCATAAGATAACAGAATTAAGGCCTATCAATTCTTGAATGAAATACCCTACTTTAGGATTATTTTGTATCATGTTTTGACATATTTTCATTAAAAGAAAAGTATCTTGACTTTCCTAGTTGTCAAAATTCTTAAGGTTGTCATGTTCAAACCAAGGCATAACTATAGCTTCATAATATTGGTAAGTGTTTTTCACACTATCCCCTTACTAAATTTAGGTGCAACTCTAGTTTTGGCAGATCTTTTGACAAAGTCGCTAGTCTTGGAGCCACTGTATACTTTAGAAAGCAACCTATGACTCACAAGGTTCTTAGGTAATAAATCATTATTATTAAGGGAATTAGGTTTTTTGATATTTGCAGACTTTAGAACTTGGCTCAAGTCTTACGCAGAGTCTATACACAAAATAATTATTTATTTAATTACTTTTTCCATGATCAATCTATAATTGTCATTATTCATTATTAGTTTAAAAAAAATACTACAAATAAGTTATTAACAAAGTGTAAAAAAAATAATTTTTTTATTTTATTATTACCATAACATAATAAATTAGAATTTTTATAAAAAAAATTATAACTTTAATTTTGCTTAGTTTAATATTTTTTTGTATATTTTAACAACTAATTAGAAATATTCTCTGGTGTAATCTTATATAGACAATAATTATTAGAAGTAATAATTTTTATTACATGAAAGTGTATAATTAAATAATAAAATATCTTCATACAGTATATTTGAATTAAATTTTTAGTTTTTATTAAACAAAACTATTAATCAAGATCATTAAAGATTCACTTAACATCAATATAATTATCTTAAAATCATATTTGACATAAAAAAATATTTAATAAAAATATGCATAATAATTTAAACAATCAAAACCATAAAGCTAGAAAAAACATACCTAGTTTGTGCACGACTTATTGACTAAGAAAGTGATTGGGCTTTTCCACGTAAAAATGAAAATATGGAACCAATAGAAAACTGCCGTGTTGGACGAGCAAAAGCCCCATTGCAAATGGTAATGGTAGACTTGGATTTTAGAGTCGTGTTGTGGGGCCATTTACCATACTAGCCCTCTCCACGTCGAAGCAAACAGACCAAGCCAATAAAATCATGCCATGTAGCATTAACAAGGTCTCCAACCGTTGGATCATCCACGCTGGCAAAATGGAGGTCCTTCTATGGAGGGACTCCCCGTAATAAACACCACCACAACCCAAAACTGAGGCATATATAAATAGATCAACAAGTGGAATTGCCAATCCAATCTAAACTAAACTGATCTGTTCAGTGGTGGAAGCTACTAGAAACTCTATAGGCACTGCGATGAGGAAGTGGACGGTCGCTTCCGTTCTCCTTCTACTCTGTCTCCTCTCTCTCTTTGCAGATCAAGGTATTGTATGAGGTTTCACTCTTCACTCTCACCATTACTTCTTCAGAGCTTCATTGCTAGATGTAGTTATTCG